AAAAAAAAAAAAAAAGAAAAGGGTAAACAAAAAAGTTTTCCTAACGATTTAAGAATAAAACTTAAAACGCAGCTTAATATTCTATTATCAAATACCATATTTTATGATTTTTATCGCGTTATATCTAATATTACTATAACAGTCCAAAATATATTCTTCTCACTACATTCTCATGCTATTCTATATTTATTCTAAAAAATTATGGTATATAATTCCTCTAAACGTACATAACACACCTTTGTGTAAACGAGGCTGCAAGCTTTTATAAACAATATTTGTGTCAAATGTCTAATAGACACACGATAGACACTATCTATAATTTAGTCTACATTTAAGGTGATACGGTCCTTTGTATAATTATAACACTAACTGGAATATCATAATTAATATGTTTTATGGCATTGAATAATGACGAAGAATTTTTTCTTACATTTTCGTTTTGTTGTTGGTGTTGTGTTGTTGATGACAATGATCACATTATTTTATAAAATAAAAGAATTGATTATTATGAAAGAATTAAGTTTGCCTGTCTTCTAGTGCCAGGGCAACTATAATTGGTGATTTAAGTTCTGGACGAACACTAATTTTCATATATTTGGCATTTACGTATTTCTTCCTAACAGCTTGGTATTTGCTTTTGTCTGCTTCATTTATAATCACAGCAATATTCCTTACAACTGGTAATATATCCTCTTTAGTATAAGTGCTATAATATTCTAAAGTGTTCGTCCAAATGTTCTTATTTTCACTTTCATCGTTGCTATCAAAAATTCTATCAAAAAATATATCACGTGTTAATGTTTATATATTTTATTTTTACAAAAAGAATAAGCGTATAAAAAATATATTCAAATAGAATACTTACATAAACGCTAAATATATGGCGGCTGCTGCTATCAAACTTGGCGAATAATGGCACATTTCATAATGTACTAAACACTGCTCCAAAAAATATTTAGCCATGGTATGATGTAGAGGAAGTGCCTTTAATCAATATAAAATATTAAATTCGTAATTAAAATGTGTGTATGTGTGTGTGTGTGTGAAAATATCTCGAGCATATGTTTTAATAGATATTGCATTATTATCTATTATTACCTTTCCAGCTTTACTATATCTTCTTAAAAAATGAAGTGGTAGTGGTCGTCCAAATGAAAAATCAAGAGTTTTTATAATGACCAGTTCCATTTTTAAGATTTCAGATTTTGTATACGCATTGTCTGTTATATATACAAAATCAGTAACATCTGGTGAATACATTTCTTCATATTTACTAGCTATAAACATGGCTGTTACACCAACTAGTTGTAATCTTTTTCTATCTATCGTCTGATATGACTGTTATAAAAATAAATAACTTATTTATTATCGATACAAACAATTCAATGATTTATATTTTATTGATATAAAAACAAACCTGTAAAAATCTATCGATAATAGATACAGTAAGATATAAAGTTTCTTGCATAAGATGAAATTGTTGATGTACTTCAACGAGCCAATCTACAAGAACACTTCTCATTTTGGGTGTTACTTCTTGACCAGTTAAATATTCCTTTTTAATAGGAAACTTTTGTTCTAAACTTCTTAAATATTCATATATATCATTACAATAGGCAGAAACTAAAATTGGATTTTCTTTATCAGTTTCATCTATATTTTCAATGGTTATAAGATCAGACGAAAATGATTCTTTTTCTTTCTTGATGCATATGGTAGGAGCTAATGATAATTGATTAATTTCTATGGGGGCTTCATTTTGGATTGAAGGTTTAGTTATTTGCATTTGTGATTTCTCTTGTATTTTTGCAGGTTTTTCTTGTAATTTTGTAACTGGCTTTTCATTAATTTTTTCTAAAGTTTTACCAACTTGCTTAGTATCATATTTTTTAGAGATGATTTGTTTCTTTTCCTTTAACAAACTACTTCTACCAATTGGTTCAACACCTCTCTGTGTATTTACTTTATTTCCTAAATCTCCAAATACAGGTCTCTTAGTTGTTATTGTCTTTGTAGCAATAGATGATTTTGAATTTGCAACATTTTCTTTATTAACATTCTGTAATCATTGTTCTCTCGATTAGTAATTATATCAACTAGAATATAAAACTAACTTAATATATTAAATTATAAAGATATATATATTATAAAATTTGATGAAATTATATAATATATGTTTATAAGATTACTCTATACATCTATTAACTTAAATATAAATAACAGATTACCCTATACATCTATTAACTTAAATATAAATAATAAAACTAGAGTTACTTTCAAAATAAGATCTTATGTTGATGATAAAAACAAAAACAATATTATAACATTGTCGTTAAAGAAAAAAAAAAAAGAACACGTTTCTGAATATTTCCAATTACATTAGAATTGAACAAAAAAATCAGTTAATACAAAAAATAATTTAATTAGAAAAAAAAATATGAATCTTATATACGTAAAACCGGTCATCGTTGGGTCCATAGGTAATAGTTTGTAAAAAAAAAGAAATTAACACGTGCAAATGATAATATTTCCTTTTCTTCAAATTTTTCTAATTCATATAAGAGGGTATTTAAAGATGTCAGGCACAGGACCGTTAACCATTACACTGTCCTCCCCACGTTAGATGTTCTAACGAATATAATCATCTATTTACTTTCAAATGTTATCTAAGAAAATTTATTATATTTACTTACCATAAGCACTTGTCGATTTCTTAGCGCCATCGTCAACTCGGATAAAATATAATCTTTATTAATATAAAAAATATAATTCTCGTAGAATAATTCTTTTTCTTTTAGATGCTTGCCAAACAACGTTCACTTCTCGTTTAATAACGATCTCAGCGGTTTGAATTTGTTTAGCTGCTAAACCGGAAGTTAATGATAGGTGGCAATGCACTGATGTACAAATGGCGCGAAAAATATCTTTTTTTGATTTGTTTCCTAATATTGAAAACTAACTTCTTTTCTTTTTCTTTTTAACCGGCAATTAATATACACTTGTATTTATGTATTCGTAATAAAAAGACTTTCATATTATTTCCAATTTATCAAAAATTGTTTGTTAAATTTTAAGTATTTTTTTATTGTCAATTATACAAATATGACGTAAAATAAAAATTTTTCGTCATAATTTAAATCTTTCTAATATCCAATATTATATAATATTATTATATACATATTTTGTTTATAAATTCCTTAATTATATTAAAGAGAAATAATACTTTTAAAAGATTTTAAAAAATGAGACGTATAAATAGTTATATAATATAAGCACATGCTCCAATATGTCATCCGTATCAGCTTAGTTGTTAATCATACAAATGTCATAGTTCTATATATTTTAAAGTATATATAAAAAGAATATAATTATTTAACATGTCTATTAACATAGATATTAAGTTAAAACGTGCTAGTAAAATATATCATGAAGGGGTTTGTCTTATTTATTATTTTGCAGTAAACAATAGTAATAAACAGTAATATTGAGGTTATATTTTAGGAAGTTGTCGTTGGTCTTATATTATTACAAACAAATTCCGATTTAAAACATGATGGTATATTTCTTACAATGGAAGGTTCTGTTAATTTACAATTGAGTTCCAAAAATGTTGGTATTTTTGAAGCATTCTATAATTCTGTCAAGGTTAGTCAATCTTTGTCATCGTTCTTCTGGGATACTATTAACATAATTTTATATTAATTACTATTTTACATAATATCACAATTAACAATAGATTTACATTATTTACAGCCTATTCAATTAGTACAATATACTGTGGATGTTGCTCCTCCTGGCAAAATACCAAGTAGTAGAATACCTTTTGAAATACCTTTCGAATTACCATTAAGGCCACGAGGAAAGAAACCATTATATGAAACTTATCATGGAGTTTTTGTTAATATACAATATTTAATACGCTGCGATATAAAGAGGAACTTTCTTGCAAAAGATGTAAGCAAGTCATTGGAATTTATTGTAGAGGACAATTTCACCATTAAAGTCGATAAAGAACATAGTAAAATAGTATTTTTTAAAATAACACCGGAGTCTTTACAAAATACAAGAGACAAAGCTAATGTTCCAAGATTTTGCATTTCAGGAAGATTAGATTCGTTGTATTGTAAAATTTCAGAACCTCTTAAAGGCGAGGTAAAAGTATTAATCTAATCGATATATAATAAATTATTTCTTTCTAAATTTTATTTTTATACAACTTCAATTTATATATTTAAGGTAGTAATTGAACATTGTGAAGCTGTTATAAAATCAATTGAATTGCAATTGGTAAGAGTAGAAACATGTGGCTGTGCTGAGGGATATTCGAGAGATGGTAAATATAATTAACATATATCACGTATAAATATCAGTAAATAAGTTAATTGAATTATTCTCAAAAAATAATATATTTTATAGCAACAGAAATACAAAATATACAAATAGGAGAAGGAAACATATGTACGAATTTGCCTATACCTATTTACATGATATTTCCAAGATTATTTACTTGTCCTACTTTAAGTACAAGTAATTTCAAAGTTGGTAAGAAATTGTTTACGATATCAACGTTTAGAGGAAGAAGAAAAAGTGATTTTTTAAATACTTATTCAGTTGAATATTTAATATTGCATTTTATTTCATTTCAGAATTTGAAGTAAATCTTATCATTATATTCGAAGACGATTATTTAGTTACTGAAAATTTTCCTATAATACTTTCCAGATGCTAACAATCATTTAGTATATAAAAATATAAACTGTAGTAGCACATAAATGCAATTATCTTAAGTTAGTTAAATAATGTATTCATTTTACATTATTTATACATAATATATTATTTTATATCAAATATTTTTATATTTGTTTATACAAAATGAAGTATAAGTAATTATCGTTATATGCGATAGAAATTTTTTCTATATTTAAAAGTGTAAATTAAAAGATATTTTTTATGCCCAAACAACATCAGCTCTTTATAAGTAACAATGTGTATTCATTAGTTTAGATTATTTTAGATTATTAAATTTTATTAAAGTTTTTTTCTCTTGCTTTAATCAAATCCAGTTTTTTGGACAAGCAATCTATAATATTTTTCAACTTGCTTATTATGCGTCAGTCCAACTGAAGCTAATAATATGACATATCCAAGCATAAAAGTTAATAATTTATGCTGTCTAAACCACTCTAATAATCCCGAGCTTTCATCATTCCTAAAATATAGAAAATATATTAAATGAAAATCTATTAACTTTTATATGCAATAGAAAATATTGATAAAGATTATTAAACAAATATTACCTCGTTGGTTGAATTTCTTGACTATAAACAAGAAGATAACGAATTCTTACCAAATCACTGTTGGTAACTAAATAATATTTATTCGGAACTGATTCGGATGATGTATTTTGTATTCTAGCTTTTGGATTATGTTTTTTTATGGCAGGGTGATTAATAAGTTCACAAAGAGCTACACAACTCAATTCACTACCTAGAACACTACCACCCCATCCATAGCCAACAGGACTATATGGTAAACTTACTCCTAATTCACTTGAAAGATATATTCCTTTTCCATATAATGACTTCTAGCAGCAAAATTAAAAAATATAATTTATAAATATTATATAGATTTTATTACGTGTATGTGTGTAAAAAAATCAAATATTAATATTATTATTAATTTTACCTTACACATGTTCTGTTGTAAACCATAATGTAAAATGGAATGAAAATTCTCTAAACGACTGCCATGATAAGCATATAATGTGGAATAACCTTGTCCGTTAGATTTCCACTTTTCCTCTGCAGTCGATTGCTTCGCACTTGCTACTTGAAATATTAAATTAGGTGGAGCAACTTGCATTTCTGAAGGTATTTTCTTTAATACAGAATCATACTATAATAACAAACTTTATCAGTATTATTATAAAGACAATTTTGGAATATTATATTGGCTTTTGCAATATATGTTGAGACTTACATTTTCCTTACTTATACTTTTAATATAAGGATCTCTTAATCTTATTAACACCCAATGTAACAAGTCTATTGCTGGTCCATAATTAGCATATACATTTGGCTCATGAAGTTCTCTAAATATTACTGCCAATGGAGGTATCAGTTCTACGGTCTTTCTCTATTGATATATAAAATTAAAATATAAGAACACCATTAATATAGTAATTTTATTTGCTGAGTGAAATAATCTAAATTAATGTTAGAACATATAAAAACCATTTTTGGGTATTATACCAAAGCTTCGATATCCTTGCATTCATTTTTTACATACATAGGTGGAAATGGTCGTAAACAAGTATCACAACGATATGTATTACATGCTGCTACAAAAAGTGACCACTTTAAATCTGCAGCTTTTGGATCTTTTTCAAGTAAATGCTTAAGGAGTACAATTTTCTTTTCTGCATCATCTTGATAAGGTGTGGTATCCATTTTTGTACTATGTAGTATATCCAAATTTATTTCAAGTGACTTGTCCTCTTCGTTAATGTCAATTTTATTATTGCACTTAGATTTTATTGCATTCATTTGATGACTTTTCTCCATGCACTCCATTATTAATAATAAATTGTTGAATCTATATATATTTGATATTAGTTATTATAATTACTTTTTTATTATTAATACATTTTCATAAGAATATTTTTTGTTATAGTGTCTCTTTAATAAGTTAACAAAGATATTTAATATATTTAAATGATATTTTTACTAACAAATTTAGAAAGTTATTGTCGTTATTTATTTATTAATTCTTATAGATTAATCCTTAAAAAAAGAATTTAATTTCTCTAATATACATTTATTTTAAATTAGGCAGTATTTCCACTCGCTTATAAGTTATGTTTATATAGAACTATCAAAACTCAGCTGATATATTTTCGATTTGAATGTTACTAGAGACACTATGCGTTTATGGAAAGAGAGAGAAGCATAACAAATATTTAAAATAATATAAGAAAATTTATTAAATTATTCGTTTAAAAAATTAAAATATATAATTTTTACATGTATATTATGTAAGTAAATTTAATTAATGCATTTATTGAATCTTTATTGAATCAGATTTGTTTTTTCACTGTTGGACAAATTTTTATGATCTAGTAAAACGGTTTTGACTTCGAAGAGATTTACTAATAAATAACAAATAGTGATTATTCTTTCTGAATTAAATTTAAGTGTTTTTTGTAACATTGTTTTTTTTAATTAACTATTCATTAATAAATATTACTTCTATCAATGTATTAAAAAATGCAAAGTATAACCTTTTTTTCTTATAGTTTTATGTAAACATATACGTTGTCAGTGTTTTAAAAAAGATTTGAATAAAATAATGAACATATTATATGTTTTTCAAAATAATATTGAATAATATAAGATAAATTTACTTTGATTCATAAGTATATGTGAATGTTTTTACTATTAGAAAACTTGATATCCTTTTTTAGCCTTAAATTTCAAACATTTTCACGCATACACAATTGTCACAAATACAAATAGTAAACTTGCATGATAAGAAATACTTACACTTATGTTACAAGAAATTTACATAAAATATTGGCACATTTTTCTAATAAGTTTCGAGATTTATGACTTACGATACTTTATTTCTATTTGTTTCGATATTCGTTTGTCAAATCAACGCATTTTCAATTATATATTTGTATGTATACATATACGTATGCATATATTTATATATTTATTAATACATTATTTATACATTATTAATACACATAATATTATACATTTATCAAATATAGATGGAAGTTTGATTTAAAAAAAAATAAAGCATACAAAATATTTTTCTCATCATTTTATTAAAGAACTTATAAAAAATTCTTATTGCATATAAAGATTGTTTTAAAATTGAGAGAGTATTATATAAAGTATATTGGTGACTATCGTATTAAAAAATATATACAATATGTAGCTAATGCTACCCAGTGGCTAGCAAATCCAAGTTCAGACCATTTTTTAATAGTATGAATATAACTATATCCTGTTTCTTGTAATTCGGAAGTATCAAACATAAGACCTAAGTACGCTAAATGAAATATTGTTAATACTGTAAACATTATGTTTATCGCAATAACCCACCAAGAATTGTAAGGATTATATAAGTGGGTACATTTGTTTTGAGCGCATTCTTTTGATGCTATACATGCATCAAAGATATTAGCAAACATTATTCTAAGTTGATGCTCTACGTATGTATATAAACCGAGACTCAATAATACTGCTCCTAATTGAAAATTAAATCCATGTAGAAAAGAACTCATTAGATACGTAATAATTACTGCTCCAAATTTTCCTAAATATTTTAGACTTGGACGGAATATATCTAAAAACAAAAAAAGAAAAACAATGAGCTAATTAATCTTGTTAAAATAAGTAAATGTTATTTTCTAACGTACATTTTTTTAACCAGAAATGCATTGGCATATTCCAATAAACAACAACTTGGACGAGTGAACGTGGTAGTTCAATTTCTAATGGTTTAACAATAGATATTAATGAAAATGGATATCCTCCCAAAAATGATATAGCCGATGCCAAATACGAAATAAAATAATGGGATGTTCTAAATGATAATGCATCTCTATAAGCTAATAACCACCTAAAACATAATCAAATTTTATTCGAACATATATTTTATCTTATTATATCTTTTTAATAACTCATATATTATGAAATATGACAATAATGAAAATAACACTGTATATTTTGATACTAACATCCATGAATCGTCAGGAAGCATCCATTGTATCCAGCAATTTGACATACTTAAGAAAAGGAATGAACAAGAAGTAAATCCAATTACAATCAATAACCACCACTTCCCCTACAATATAATAATTATTTTAAAACAGGGAATATATAATGTAGACAAAATTAATGAATCAGTTAATAAGATATCAATAACTATACTTGCTGATTTGGTCGACGTAAAGCCAAATAATCTTTCAATGGTACCCATGGACCTAAGTACGAAGTAGCTGCACAAAACATATATCCCATGTAACTATAAAAATCTGGGATGTCATTAGATTCAATACTATCTGCAGCAACGCTAATAGTTCTCATTGCCATGGTCATAATTATACTGCGCACTTTATGCCAAATTATTGGTTTCATATAAAATTCACTGTAAAATAAGATCATTATTTGAATCTTAATTATTGATATCTGGATACATTAGAGTAATATATACCAGTGGATAATTATAAAAAGTGATGGCAAAAAGACTGCTATCTCTTTATAATACTTCTTTGGTAAATTTAAAGTAATGTAAGAAAGTATAACAAATAATACTAATAAAAATAAACATTCTTCTGCGTAATGCTGAATGATACATATTCCGATAACCATTGATAATCCATGAAATAATTTATCAGAAATAGATTCTGCAACATTAAAATAGTATCATGAAAGTTTATATATGTGTAACAATATTTATTAAATAAATAAAATCCTTACGCATTTGTGATATAAGTCGAAAAATAAACATTGCAAGAAACAACGGCAATATATAAAATCCTGTATCGTAGAACGTAGGAGTGAGACAATATTCATAAAGTTCAGATAGCGTTTCTCCTTCTGCATCTTCGTATTCATAGTCATATTCTTGACCATGATGATAACCAAATCCAATGAAATCATTTTCATCATCATAATACACTGAAGTATCAACATCATCCATCACAGCTATTTATCCTTCAAAAACTTAATGCAACATCCTATTTTATAATCTGAATATATCCTAAATAATTATAAAAGAAAATAAACTGACAATAATAAATTATTACGTAATTAATATTAAACATAATAAATACTAATTATGTAAACATTTTGAACGCACCCAATGACCATTTTACACAAATAAACATATCAATTAATAAATATTTAACTAAATATATTAAACGAATCAATTATTTTTTCTTTAATTGCTTTTTGCATATTAATATATTGATATAATGATTAATAATCAAGATGATTATTGTCAATAAATAACATAAATAGTAAATTGCACGATACTCCAAAAATATACGTTAAGACAATCATTCCCTCTTTAGTACGATGGCCGAAAATACCATTATTTATGGGTTTTTATGTGTGATGCAGAAATATAACCTATATTAAGTTATAAATTTATTTTTTATGTTATTTATAGAAATTGTCAATAGCTGGGAATAACTGAACAATGTTTTTTATATTTAATTAATTTTTCATGCTTAATATTAATTGTAAAATTTTAAGAAATTTCAATATATTAATAAGAAGTATTTAATGTGAAACATTCTTAATTGTGAATATTTAGTAATTATCAAAAAATACAAGAATGTTAAATCAATGCATTGATACCGAAGAAGATGAGGAGGTTATATTTGAGGTATATTACAGAAAAAGAAATAATTTAATATATCTCTATATGTAAATTTAATTATAATTACTTTATATATCATTTTTAGGGTAGCGATTTACATGAACATTTAGTTACATTAGGATATACAGATTTTGAAACTGCAATAGTTTTTAAAACTCAACAGACACCGCAAAAGAAATCTATGTATATGGTACTTTATTTTAATTTTACATACTTCAACTTGCTTATAATATAAATTAAATATATCTTTTTTAGGATGTCAACATTATTAAAGATGTAGGTAAAATCATCTATAAATACATATTAGATTTGAAATCTTGGATAACGCAGGTACGTTCATTCATTGAATTGTAAAAATCAATACAAATTTCATTAAATTATTTTATATCAGGACTCAAATTTATCCAAGGAACAATTGCATACTATTTTAAGTTCCAAAACGCTTTTAGATGATCATGCATCTGAGATTAATAGTTTTGCAGAGAAATATTTTCCTGTTGCTCCATGGAAGTATGTTTCTATCATAAATGTGCTTACATATATATTATGTATATATCATATCATTACATCTTGACAAAGACTTTGATTTATTTATTTATTACAGGAAAGTGTTAAAGAATTTACTTGCTAGTGGTACAATAATAGCTTCTTCTACGTACTTAATGTTTTACAAACATAAGAAAGCTTTAAATGTTATAACAATACTTTTTACGTTATACTACGCTGGTTATAGAAACTTCCAAAATTTATGGGCACATAAAGAACTGAAGCAATTAGTATTATTACAAAATGAATTTTATGATTTATGTAATAAAGGATTAAAAATTTTAAAGCACGGTTATAAAGTAAAAATGAATTCTAGGAAAATTAATCAACAATTGCAGTAAGTATATATTTAACAAATAATATTTTCTAATTTAATTTTATATATTCAAAAATCGAAATAATATTTATTCTTATTAAATTAGTATTCTCATGGGAGAAAGATTAACATACCTACAACCAATAATGGAAAATTTAATTAAATGTTTAGAAGATATTTGTCAAATTTATCATTATATTATTTCCATTATGATATCAAAATTTCCTAAACATTTATCCAATCAGATTATAAGAACAACGTTTGAAGATAATGTATTTAAAATACATGGAGAAATTAACTATGAAGCATTGAAGGTGATTATATAAAAGGTTTTAAATTTTATATCTTTGTACTAATTGCACATTGTATATCTCTTAACAGCAATTATACTATACTTATATTCTTATGCAATCGGAATTATTATATTTACTGGCTATTACATATGATTTTAAAACATGGTCTTCAACTTATGATAAGATTTCCAAAGCGAGTGTAATTTATATTGTTTATAAATTGAATAAACAATTAACAAAATACAATAATAAATTATCTCTATGCATTAATTCTTATTACAATTACAAAATGAAACCAGTTCAATATAATTATAGGTAAGTAACTACTTAAAATATATTTTAATGTCAAATTTAATGTCACATTAATAAATCATTTTTATTTTTAGGGGTCCCGTTATATCCAAATGGCAAGACGTTTATTTACATTTGAATTTAACATTAAATAAAATTCAACAGGCCTACGATCAAATAATTTCAATGATTAATGATATCGATATTTGTACTGACGATACTTCAATTAATAATGAAATGCTAGAAAGAATGATGGAAAAAATGAATGAAGCGTATAAGCAAATAGATGGAGCTAGAAATTTTGCTGAATTTAGTAGTTTATTAATAACAAAAGCAAAGTATAAAAATTCCAAAATGAGTTATACGAAGGAAGATATTAAAATAGAAAATGTAAGTGATAACTTGCCAGTAATAATTGATAGAGAACCAGAAATACTTGATGAAGTGTTTGAGGAATATATTAAAGAGGAATATTTGAAGCCTTTGTATGAAGAAGATCAAGAAATTTTATTACAAGAATATAAATTAGATAAATTGCTGGCAAAGAATTTTATGAGCGAGTTAAAGGAAGCTTTAATTGATAAGCATAAAACTATGTCAGAAAGAGAATCTAAAGCACTTCAACGTATGTACAAAAATGTAATAAATAGTGCTAATGATTTGGAAAGTAATAACTTCAAATCTTCGATACCTATACCACCTCCAATGCCTTCTTTGGTCAATAATTCTAAATCGCTATGTTATAATGATTCTATTAGTTACGATCATAATATTTTTTCCACGAAATCAGCAGATAGATTGGATATTCCAGCATCTGATAAACAAATGTTAAATATAAATAATGATAATATAAAAAATGTTAAAGAATATGTGGACATTGACGATGAAGATAAGGATAATGGTTTTAAACCATTATCATTGAAAAATTTTCAAAATCCTGTTATGCAATTTGGATTAAATAAACCTCCTCAGTTATTATCTATGAATGAAGAAATGTTTATAGGTAGTGGGGAAAATTCGGAAAGTGATGTGGAACCAGAGAATGATTCAGTTGCATAATATTTTGTATTCACATATCAAAATAAATAATAACAAATTTGAATATTTATTTTTTAGATATAAATTATATTAAGTAATAATGAAATATTGCCACCAACGATATCATTTTTAATCAATTTATATTTGATAAGAACAGAATTAATTGTTCGGTGAGAAAAAATATTATATAAATTTTATCTTCATAAATGGTAGCATCTGTCAATTAAAAAGCTTTCAATTAAAAATAAAAATAAAATTTTAAATTAATTTCTGTAAAAAGAAAATTGATTATTGAAAGTATTTTTTATATAGTCATTTTTGTATGTAATACTTTTTTTAATAATTTAATAATTTTATATAGTTTCAGATTCGTTTTTAACTATTTTCAATGCCATTGTCATTTTTGGCATACTTTTACATACAGTAATACATTTTACTGTTATTCTATTCTTTAACATATTTTTTTTAGGTAAGAAAAATATGTATACTGTATTTTTATGTAACATCTTTTATATAACAGTAGTACATATATTTAATAAGTATGTGTCCTGTTTTATTTTACAGTCGTGGAATAACTCATGTATATTATATATATGTCTGAAATATTATTTCACAAAGAGACATATATAATTAATCAGACAATTAATGTTGATATTGTTGCAAAAGAATCTTGAATGATGATGTAAATCTAGTTTAATGTAAGATGACAAATACAGCATTCATTATTCAAATGGAATGATTCTCCTTTGTGTAAGTTATTTTGAGACATGAAATTTTATATATCCAATATTAACACTCATGCCATTTGTAACCAGCACAAATGTATCCACATTTGCAAAACAAAACATTATAGTAGATGCTGTTAAATGCATCGCAGTCTTAATTAAAAGACTATTCGTAATTAATAATTATTTCAAAGATAATCTATCCTTTAGTAAATTATTACTGGAGCTATATGTATATAATATACAAATGTATACAATATATTTAGATATAAGTATCTTTGTGTACTATGTACAGATCAGGATTACGAGTTCATTATATTTTAGGCTTTAAATAAATAATTAATTTTTGCCAAAAATTATAATATGAGAACGTCACTATAGATAGTGATTCATAAAAATAATTATGCCTATATTGTACGTATTTTCTTCAAAGTAAAGTAGAAAAATTACTTAGAAAATAAAATTAATTAATTATTTTATTGTGCGATGATCATAGTTGCTTAGAACCTTCTGTTTGTTTTGTTTTAGGTGGAACACCTGGTGTTAATGATGGATTGTTCACATTGGATTTGGAATTACTTGTTAAAATTTCGGCTGATTTTTCTGTACTACTTTTTTCAATGGTTGAAATTTTAAATTTTTTTTTAGGCTCATAAATATCATCTGTTAATTCTTCTTTTCCAAGCGGTTTTTCTTTTGTAACGGGTGTAGCAGGAACTGGTGAAACTGGTGGAACAGGCGAGGATTTACTTTCTGTTTGTAAGATTTTTTGAATTTGCTCATCTGCTTCTAATATTTCTTCCTTATCCATCATTTCAATTAGTTCATCTAATTGTTTTTTATTTAATTTGACGTCTTCTTTTTCTATAAGTTCTATAATCTATAAAAAAAATAAGATTTACATACAAATATAATATTCTAATTACAATATATATCACTATATTTTATATTATAAATCATACCTTTAAAACATTTTCGAGTTTAATAGCACCATCTTTATCGTCGTCCATTTTTTTTAATATTTCTGCTATACTTCTTAATTTAGGTTGATCTGATACATTTTGTATTTGTTTTATAGTTGCAATAAGTTCATCTATTTTGACTAATTCTTCAACAGTTTTAGATTCCTTTTGTTCTTCTGGACTTAAAGATTGTATTTTCTCTTTAACTTGTTTCTCTGATTGTTCTAGTTCTAATAAAACTGCATCCGCCTTTTGAATCATCTTGTTAATTTTATTAAATAATCTGTTGGCTCCTTTTGATATTTTAATATTGTCAACATCTATTTCACCCTTTGTTTCGGCTTTTATCTGATATAATTCTTTGACATCCTCTTGATACTCTGCCATCTCTTCCTTAAGCTCTTTCAATTCTTCCTTTTCTACAGTCATTTTCTTTTTATCCTAAAATATAATAAAAAGAAATTTTTTGATTGTATTGTATATATAAGATAGAAAAATAAGATCTATTAATCAATACGAACCTTGTCTAGTGTTTCAAGGGCTTGCTCAATAACTTTTACATCAGTTGCTGTAATTTCATCTTTTTTAGATTCCGTTTTAAAAGTAATAGGTGTTGGTTCTGCCTCTTTCTTTTCTTTTTGCTTTTGTTCTTCTCTTTCTTCTTCAATTTTACGTTCTTCCATTTTAATAATTTCAATATTTGCTTTAAGGTCAAGTTTTCCTTCTTTTTCTCCAATGGCACATGTAGTACGTGCAACCACTGTTTCAGGCAATGCTGATATAGTTGCTATTAATTTGTCTGACATAGGAATGGTTTCAGGTACCATAAGTGCTCGAGATAGAAGTAGCAATGACTGTGGTACTTTTTTATTCAAACTCAAATCTAACCATTGCGATAGCTGTTCTCTTAGCTTTGTATCTGGCATTCCATATGCTCGCATAGCACGTGCTCTGCAGGCTTGTTGTAATTCGCTCCTCGTTAAGCTATCTACACCTTCTTTCTGGATTAACTTTTTATTGAAAAAAATAAATAAATAAAATTTTATTTATAATAATTTTAATCAAAATTAAGCACAATTAATCAGAAATATACCTTATCGTCAGCAGCAAGACTTCTTAACCGCATTCGAAGTAGAAAACGTAAAAAGTTCGTAGTACCAAGTCTTTGAACATCCAATACTCTGCATAAAGCAATTAATTGTGGTCGAGATAAAGAATCTAAAGTAATTTCATCCTCAAAAAGTTTACTAAATCTCATTATATCTTCGTTACTCGCCACATTACCGGTTGTTCTAATTTTATAAAAAAATTCAGCAAACTCTTTGGCTTTTTCGGATTTATGATCCGATGATTGTAATGACATATCATCTAATGTTTGTTGTAAAAATTTGGCCATCTCAATTTTAACCTAAAATAAATATTTATTTAAATTAATTAATAAAGTAGCTAATATTTTCAATAGAAATTAATAATATAATAAATAATTGTATATTATATTTTTACCTTTAAAGCTTGCTTTAATTTATCTTCTTTTTCAACTGCAGTTTGAAAAGTAGATGGCAATAAGCCAGGAAACAATTTAATTGCAACGGGAAGTAAGAATTCCATAAATGGTACAATGATGAATACGGAGAAAGGTATTAATCTAAACATGTCTCCTGTTGTTTTAACGAGCTAATAATAATGAAATAATATTAAAAATTAGAGTATATAAATATTTAAATAATAAATACTAAATATACATAATGTTCAATAATGGGAGATGATTATTTTCAAACTAAAACATTAAGTCATTATTTGGCAAACTTCCAATATACTTCTTATACAGTGAATTTACTTATATTATTAAACATGATATAATAGATTAATTAACTTAGATTGTAATTTGAAGAATTTTCAAATACATACCAATCTGTGTTCTCTTCTACTTAATTCTTTACCCTGCAAGATTCTCCAAATCAATTTGGCAGAAACTTTCATATCTAATCCTAGTAATCGAAAGCCATGGTAATAATGTATTAATTCCCCTTTCACTCTTTCTAATAATGAAGGTTTCTTTTCCATCAAAGCTTTATCGGTCGATGAAACAATGGGTTGAGATTTACTTTCGATTGATTTTTCTTTCAATTCTTTTTGTTCTTTTATATTTTTAACAGTTTCTTCAATTTTAGAAGATGGTTCCTGACCATGGAAAACTAAAGATCTCGAGAATGAACGAGTTTGTAGATACATCATATTTTTTGAATGGGTATCCAATAGAACGAAGTCTACTAAAGTTTGATTGCATGTTGGTCTCTTTAAATCTATACATATAACACTTGGAATAGAATTAGTATGATTACTATTATACCATGATTTTAGACACCAATACTCTGAAAAATAAAAAGAAAAAATTTTAATTAATAAATAAAAACATTTATTAAATGTTGCATTAAAGAAAATACACAAAAAAATTATTTTAAATTATTTCTTAATTATCTAAAAATTATCACCTGACATATAAATTTAATTTTCATCTGACATATAAATTTAACATTATAATTCATACATAAACTTTAAAAAATATATGCATAGTAGTTTAATGAATTGATATCATATGAAAATATAACCTATACAACGCATATTAAAATAAAATAAGAAGTTAAGACAATTATCACGAAGATGGTAATATTTTAAAAAGAATTTATATTACATCTCATGTACATTGTATTTTTCCACTGTTATGTAAATGTTGTAAAATATTGGTTTTGATGATTTATCATATATACGCATACAAAAAGTATACACAATATGCAATTACTATATATAAGTTGTTTTTGGAAAAGTAATTATTTAATTGGTGATAGCAGAAATGGATCATAAAAATACATACGTCTAATTAATCTTCTATGATTATTCGTTAAAGTTTTCGAATATATCAAAGGATTCATTTCGAATTATTTTTGTAATATTTCTTCTATTATCCTCGGAACCGTGATTTACTACACCATGCAACACTAGCCGACCATTACAAATTTTCCATTCTGAAGGTAATGAGATAGATTGAAAGGCTTATCTCCATTAACCCTTGATAAATTTCATTGAAACAAATCCGATTTACAAAATGCACATTAAGTGCATTGTGAATAACCAATCATATAAGTCTTGACTAAGTGCAGTAAAAATAACCTTTCTTTTCTCAATAAATCTAAAAGAAAAGTAATTAAAAAACGTTAATTCTTTTGAAAGATAAAAGATTTTATTTTAAATTATTTATTGTTCATTTTACTGTATTTTCTTAGATTATTATCAGGAAATTTTATACAAAATTCAATTTAAACAAAGTTTGAATATTTTCTATTTTTAAAATATCGATTATATAATCGATAATATTTAACATTGATCGATATATATCGAAATTAAATAATACTATAATACAGTGTGGCCAACTACGTTTGATAGAGAAATAAAAGTCATTAGTTATATTTGAAGTATAGAAATGCATTTGACAAATCTAATATCAGTTCAAAATGATCCAAACTTCTGTGATATTTAATGTAATAGTTGGATTGAAATAATAAATTATTAATTTGACAATTCTGTTTTAATTATCATTTGTTTTTGACGAAAGAAGTTGACAAAATCAGATTACACTGGGACGTGTGTTGCTAAACATCTTGTAAAAGTGCAGCTGATTTGGCATTTGTTAAGAAAAAAGGTTAACATTAGTTGATTTCAATAAATGAATCGTTTATTGTGAAAATGGTGTAAGTTCATTTTTTTAATAATCGAGAAGACACGTAATTTCTATTTATTATAAATAAATCATTACAGTTATGTGTTTTCACATTTTTTTTAAATGGATTTACACCACTTTCTTAATAAGCGATCCTAATATTTATTGCTGTCTAGAGAAATAACCAATAACTATCGGCATACTAAATTACATATAAACTTTTGTCGAAGAGGTTTAACGATTTAATAAAACTATGTTATATACTCCATATTCTTTATCACAATGTTCAAATTGGAATCCTATATAACACCTATAATTCTCAGCTATGTTGAGAAGTATGTTAAAAATTTTAAACCGGAACAATCCCAGGTATGTTTCTCAAAGAGAAATTTATATTTTTTAAACAATTAAGAAATTCTTTAAGTAATGAAAATAATAAAACTTAAAGAATTGCATAATATTATTCGTATATTTTAGGTATCCTTATGGGGTGGGGATGCATCTTTCCAAAATTTGGATTTACGATTAGAAGTATTAGAGGAACAGTTAAATTTACCTTTTAAATTTGTTAGTGGTCATATACATGAATTATTAATCCACGTTCCTTGGGTAAAAATTAATTCAGAACCAATAGTGGTAACGATTAACACAATAGGTAAGTATTTATTACTGTATAAAACAAAAGGTTTTTCTTAAAAATGTTATTTTAATTTAAAGTTGTAACTTATTTTTATTATAGAGTGTATTTTAAAATTAAAAGATGAAAAAAACACAGAAACCAGAAAACCTACCATGCAAAAGAAAAAAGAAATGGTTCAGTAAGTAATTCTATTACAATATTGCAGCATTAATTTGAATAAAAAACAATGATATACTTTAAACAGAGAAGAAGCACCGCCTGGATATATTAAAAGTATTATTACAAAAATTGTTAACAACATAACGATTCATTGTAACAATTTAATATTAAAATATGTAGAAGAAGATATCGTGCTGAGTGTAAATGTTAGGTTTTTAAGTGTGCAAACTGTTGACGATAAATGGAAACCTGCATTTACTGGTAATTATTGGTATAAAATTATTTCGGTATTTATCGTCTTTAAAAATATTTAATTTTTTATTTAACAATATTTATTTACAGATGTTAATATTTATGAAGTTATGCTCAGAAAAGTTGTTACCATTCAAGATTTAACTTTATGCTTAGATAAAATGGATGCTTCTGGAAAAATAGAAATTTATCAGGTATCTCGGATTTATTTAAGTTTAATATTATTTTTAAATATAAAAAGAAGTTATATCATTTATTTGAAATCTAGGATCCTGTTTTATATCGATGTTCTTTGGCCATACGTTTAATTGTAAATTATCACAGTAATACCGCTAAAAGGGCATCTGTTACACGTTTAGATCTTCACTGTGAGAAAATGGAATTTAGTATGACTGAACAGCAAATACCAATGTTACTTAGATTAGCTTCATTATTAGTGGCTTTACAAACAAAACAATTTCCAATTAGTAAAGAAAAATCACTAAATTCCGAGACTGGAGAAGAAGCAGGTCAAGGTATTTTTTTTTATCTTGCTATATTATTTTTTTATTATTATATTATTAACAGAAGTTTTTTTTGTAACTTTATATATGTCAAATATTTTAGATGAAATTAGTCAAATAATTGGAACAATTACTGAAGCAGTTGGCTGGGGTGGCTGGGCTTGGAATGTAGCCTCTACAGTTTTACCAATTGATTGGGTTGCATCTGGCTTTGTTGATTGGGATAATGATTGGTCTAATCAACAACAAATGGCATATTCTGGGCACACTATTCATTTAGGCATTTATATCGATGATACTATTTTAACTTTTAAGGTATATCCAATGATGAACTATTATTTTTATTTAATATTATTACGAATGCATATTAAAGTTCTGTTTGTAGGTAGTTGAAAGTGTGAAAGAACAACTGTTTTACAAGTCGCGAAAGCTTAGATACAAATCGTTTTTGTCATTACGATTGAATGGAGTTTTAGTGGATGTATTACTGCAAGGTATTGAAATGACTAATTTTCAAATTGGTCTGGCTAACATACGCCTTTATCCCAGAGGAACGTGCAGTTGTGGGCACCTTGAAGTTGTTGATGGTGCACAGGTATATATTTCTTTTAATATTTATATTATTAATGTAAGAATATTTTTTTAATTTATAAATATCATTTTTCAGCCACCTCTTTATTTAGCAGCAGGAAAAGTGAATACAAATTATTTAAAGGATTCTTTATTTGATAATAATGCTTTAGAAAATAATGGAAAGAAAAGGGATTATAAACAAGGCATACATTATCATTTAGTAACTGCTTCAGGTATTACAATTAATAATTATACAAATACAATTTTAATAAATCTAAAAATTCCTCTATTTCTTATTTTAGTGGAAAAATTAATGGAAAGAAGTCCAGCCTTCGTAATGGATTATGTTCATTGTGTACAACTCCCAGATGACATAACAACTGAAAAGTTAGCAGAGCTTGGTTCAAATTTTGAATATAGGTAACGAAAAAATTCGAATCCTCTGAAATATACAAAAAGTATAATAAAGATTATGCAATGTTATTTAATATTTCTTTTTTTTATACGTTGTAGTAACTTTCCGGAGCAAAGAGTGATTCGATATATTATTGGAGATGTAACGATCAGATTGTGTTCAGGAATTTTCCATCGTATAGACACAATAAAACAAGCTGCTTCACAATATGATTATACACCATATATTATACCAAAACCTGGTAAGCATATATATGCATAAATTAAATTTATTTTTATTTAGTTTTGTTTTGTAAGTTGCTTTTTCATATCAAAAAATACAATATTTTGAACGATGTAATTGTATGTTTGAGATCCTTCTGCTGAAGAACTTCCTCCAGTTACACTAGAAGAATTTGAAGCTTTGAGAGAAAATGTATCAATGGTTAAAACTAAGTTGATTATTGTAAAAGCTTCGTTACAATTTCAATTAGCTGATCATTGTATTACTGGACTGCCACGGCAGCGGAAAATAGTTGAAAATAGGGTAAATATTTAATTATACAAATTAATGAATGTGTTTTCTATAGTTGAAAATATTTCATGTAGTCATGACTCTTACAGACTGTGCCTTTAACACCAGCTTTTACAAATGATCCTTTTGTAAGCATTGAATTTGACAAAGCAACTGCACATATGATTCAACCTTTGTATCCGTTTAGACTTACTGCTTGTGCTTCCAAACAAACTGGATTATTACCAGAAATGTTTGAACAATGTCATCAAACTATTAAAATGCAGGTATTATTGTGTTAATTTTTTCATTTATACAAACCTAAGATCACATATCAACATGAACATTTTTGTTTAGGTTGACGGAATAAAGAGTCAATTATACTTGACAACAAATTGTCATACATCATTAATGATGCCATGCTTAGTAGAATGTTCTGTTAAAAAATTACTTTATCCACAATACTGGACGCATCTAGATTTAATTTGTGAAACATACACGTTTCATACTGATAGTATTACTATTACGGGAACTAAACCAAAATTGATGGTTGCCACTTCTATAGTAACATCATTGCTTGATTCCACTGAAACAACAAATCCTCTTGTTTGTTCTTCTCTCTTTAGTGATGCATGCCAAGACAAAAGTATGTCCAGTCGTCTAATATAAATGTTAGTTTTAATTATTTCAAATGCACACACTTTATATAAGAATTTTTTTATTATATTATATGTAATTTTATATGAGCTCTTTCATTAACTTATTGATATTATTAAAAAAAAAAGTATATAAATAAGAATATTTTTTACACACATTTCTTTAATATGTTACAGATCCAATTTATTTAGAATTACTCTTGGAAAATATCAATTACAAAAGGCTTTCAACATTTATGATGAATGTTAATGAAATAAGTGTAAATTCTCTTAAAATTTTTACACTTAGCGATACCCAACAAGCATTTATACTCTCAGGTCCAGAATATGATGTTAACAGGTTATTATATAAGTATAAATAATAATTAGAATTAAAAAGTAACAAAAATTTTTCTATATACTCACTATATGATTTTAAAATAATACATATATTTTTATTTAGCGAAACAGAAAACAAACCTCTTTTAATTGCTGTAATACAGTTTCCTAAAAAGGCTCCAGTAGAAATGTATCCAACACTTATCTCACTCCAAGTAGCAGAATTAAGAGGTTCCTTAGATCCTCTCTTTTTGAAATGGCTGGAATATCAAGTTACTTATTACGAATTAGGACCATTATGTACAATGCGT